CTAATCGTTTAACGCTATATTTTACGAAACGAAAGGTCGGTTCTTCACACTTCATAGTTTACAGCCTCTGCTGATAAAGCTCTCCGGCTCAACAGACGGTATAGGGGATATAGATTCAGTTGGTAATGGATCAGGTGGCTGTTGATCTGTTCGCCGAGCTCGGCGTACAGCTGAGCAGCCATCTGATCGATTACCAACTAAAGCACCCGAGCTTCCAATATTCCAAAACATTACCAACAGATATATTCAGGTATAACCGTCCAAAATATAGAGACCCAAAGCCAAAATTTATGCGGAGGTAGCGGTAGGAGAAATGGCTGGACAGTGGAAATAACTTTTGGTGAATGTACGTTAGAGATTCTCAAGTGCTAACCTACAACTTTGGGTGCAAATGGAAGACAAGTTAGGGTGTAATTCCAAAATCTGTCGCACGCTCAGCTTCAAACTTGCGAGCTTTGCGTCTCGAAGATGAAAGAAACGTAGCTTCAAAAAGCAGAGCCTATGTGCCTCGGCGACCAGGAAATGGACTTGGTGAGAAAAGCTAAAGGTATATGGGTATCTCAGACCAAGGTCTTTGATCCCTACCGAGTGAGTCACAGGTTTCTAATTAATTGTGAACGCATTAGCCTGGACGGAGTAGCGGTAAAAAACTATATGGGTCCTTTAATGAGCGTGGCTATGGCTATAGGCAGTTGACCAGATACTCAGGTGGTCTAACTTTTGTTGGATCTGACTTTTCGCAAGAGTTTTAGCAGCAGGAGAAAATCTGTAGGCGAATTTTATATCGTCCTCAGAAATTAAGGCTTTCCCGTGGGACACGGCATTGAGGATGCCGTTGATGTATGGTAGAAAAAGGATTAGGCCTAGCACGCTCCCTTGAATGACTCCACTGGTGATTGACAGTGAGGATGACTGCCTGTCACCAGACTGTTACAACTGTGTTACACAATGGGTTTACATGCAGTCACAGCTGGCACTTAATGACTTTTATCACCATGCACCACTCTTTTTCTAGAGTTGAGAGCATTGACTCGGCGACTGGTGATCCTTAATTTTACTTTCCTGTTAGGTTGATGTAGTAGACCTCAATTAAGCTACGATTCTTACCACTTATCTGGGAAGCTGTTGCCTGTCCGCTTTTCACTTGTCCACTGTCACTGCTGACAGTTATTCTATTTCTGTCTCCTCGCCCCTCTCTCCAAGCTTCAATCCTTGACCGCAGTTGCCCGAACGCCCATTAGAACTGTTATTCACTCAAATTGGCTGGTGCCCGGTCTACACTCACACGGTCCCCTAACAAAAGGAAAATTATCCGCGAGCCTACATCTGCATGACTCCCTTTGTCAATCTCCGTCTCACCACGGAACTGCGTATCCTTTCTCCGACCCCTGACGAACGTTACGGGGTTGTCCATAAACCGAAGCATGTCAGTGCGATGATGGCATGGCACTGTCATACCCAGTGAGATGGCACTCCCGCAACTATTCTCTCCAGAATCTCGACCGCAACCCCTCGCCCGCTCATGCCTGTAGCCACAACTTCGAGCAGTTCCCATCCGGCCACGTCTCTGGGATGAACTCTTCCGTACCCAATAAATTTTCGCTCAGATTTGGCTAGCCTGGCTTTCCTACTGCAATTTCGACTTGCCTGTTGCACAAGTTCAAATCCGTATACGGAGTTCAGGTCGTAATATGCATTAGCAACTTGTACCCATCCAACCTATTCCGCTGCACCTGACATCCCTACAACAGTGCAACCAGTGAGTCTGCTTGCCTTCAGATTAAACCACGTTTTTGAGACAAAACTTGTCATGTGCTTCCAAGTTGAATTATCCCATCCCCATCTCCACTGTTGCTCGTTGTGACTCCGGCCAATTACGTAACCACCCAAGGTCACTGGTGGCCAGCAAAGGTTTTCAGTTTTAGTTCATGCCACCTGACTGTGTTTGATCTAGTCGAACCTCATGCCCATTTCTCCCAAAAAGTTGGGAAATAACCTATTATTGCTATATCATCGGGTGTTCCCCACTGTTTGTGACATTGTCCTCTTTTTGTGCAAACGGCATCCCCACAAATCCCTCAGTCATGCTCCATTCTGACTGTAAAACTATGATCATGCCAGACGGTACGCCACCCACCAGTTGGGAATGAACAATATTATTATCATTATTATGTGACTTACCAGATAGGAAGTGAATCACTGAAGTGATGATCCAGTGATACCAGCAGGACTATGTTTAGTCAGCAGGAATGCATGAGCGTCAAGAGCTTTTTGGATGTTCAAATAGACTTCTGCAATTGAGTGCTCGGTATCGCAGGTTGTTGTGACGTTCCCAGAGAAGTGCACCTGGGAGTTATTGGCGGATCTGTGAGGCAGTAGTCTACGCACACTTTTCAGGAATGCGCATCTTGCTAAATTAAAATTGGGGCCTGCTTTGATTTGAGGAGTTATACAGGACAATAGTCCAGAATGTTCGCGAGACTGAAGCAGTGTTCATTCCGAAAACTCTAGAACGCAGACGATTGGGGATTAAGCTGCCTAGAAGGTTTCGGTGCCTTCTGGGAAACAGGCCTTAACTTTTTTCAAAAAGTCGACACAGAAGACGAGCTAGAGTTCCGAAAGATGCGGAAACACTCTGCATCAGAAATACGTCATTGGATAATCCAAAAACAAGTTACCATAACAGGGCTGGCCCAGAACAACAAAAATGTGCTGCTCAATCACATGCGGACTTGCCACGGAAATAAACCAACAACTTCCACGTTGAGGGACAGGGGAAGATCAGGAATACGTCAATGGACCATCCAAAAACAAGCCACCATAACAGGGCTGGCCCAGAACAACAAAAATGTGGTGCTCAATTACATGCGGACTTGCCACGGAAATAAACCAACAACGTTCACCTTGAGGGACAGGGGAAGAGAATCCACGAGTGATCGAATAGTGGTATCTAAAGTCTACAGGGAACACTATGCAGGGCTGTATTATTTCCCAATGCCCTCGTCACACACATACTTGTCGAGGCGTACATGCGAACGGTATCTAACCAACATTAATTTCGCACAGGACATTCCAAAGCTCTTGAAAAAAGGCAAACCCATTCGGCGCGTTGGGGGAAAGTGAGGTACATCCAAGGTTCCTGAAGAAAACATCGTTCAAACTGGTAAAACATTTTACCTGGTGTTTCACCAGTCGCCTTCTGATGGCCAACTTCCCACTGCTTGAAAGGGAGCGATTGGTACATCAATCTACAAAACTGGTGACCGACTATCGCCCGGCAGGTGCAGGCCTCACTGGCATGCAGTGAAAGGTGAGGAAACGCATGCTGAAGCGAGTCATCCTAAACCACCGTAATATCAACAGCACGGATTTCTCCCAAACCGTCCGGGCGTGAAGAACATGCTCGTATTTATGGACAGATTAACCCAAGCCAAGGAGGATGGACTCATATCGGATGCCATATTTTTCGATTTCTCAAAAGCATTTGATAGGGTCCTACACGTCCCGCTGCTCCACAAACTCGAGTCTTACGGGATTCAAGGAAAAATCCTACACTGGATCAAGGCGTTCCTATGAGACAGATCACTCCGAGTGGACGTAGCTTCTACCTAATTTTCTCCAGCGCCGGTCTCCATTGCAGTTTCTCAAGGCTCCGTTCTAGGACCACTGCTGTTTCTGATCCGCGTCAACGACATTCCTGATGATCCTGCTAGTACATGTCTACTTTTTGCGGGGGACTCGAAATCCTGGAGTACAAATGCCAGTGCCCNGTGGATGTAGACGCTGCAAAGCAATGGTCGTTGGACTGGTACCTTTATCTGAATGAGGAAAAGCGCGTCCGTATGCCATTCGGGGGAGACTCGGCGAATGCCTTTGTCATGCACTGTGAGAAAGGACCAGAAAACATCATGAGGATAGACGCCAAAAAGGATTTGGGTAACTGGCTCTCCTCAAACCTGTCCTTCTTAATGCATCGTGAGAAATCGGCCCCATTCGCCAATTTACGAGTGATTCAGCGCACTTTCTCACGTATTACTCACATGGACTTCCGTATACTCAATGGGGCCTATGTCAGACTGTTCCTCGAACACGCCAAACAAGTTGTCTACTCAGGACGCACAAAACACTTGTCCAGCATTTCTAGTGAGCCGCTACGAAACTGGTTGCCGGCCTCAAGTCTGTGGACCACGAAATGCGTCTCGCAGTGCTTGACCTTTTTTCCTGGGGTATCATCGCCTCCGAGGGGACCTAATTCTTACTTATATCCTGTTTGGGGAAGGTTTTGCTAACGGGATTTTTCACCGTTGACTCAGAAAACACCTGGAGGGGACATGGTGAGAAGATATTCAAGCTCAGAGCGCACACATTCATGAGGCAAATTTTTTTCTCATTTTGGGCAGCAGGTGCGTGAAATGACCTCTGCAGTGATCTTTGTCCACACTCCTTTTAGAACCCGGTTCCAAGCATTAATAGACATTTATGTGAATCCACGCGCTGGCAAGCATACTTACCCGCACTGAGAACATAAAGAGCGGTGCCATACCCTTTTTCCAGTTGTTCCTTTCAGGTGTTCGGCAGCCGCTGAAGGACAAGAACCAAACAGACTCGGGGATCTCGAGCGAGACCCTCAATATTGTTTGTTGACCCAGCAAACACCCGGCGGGGACATAGTAAGAAAATCTTCAAGCTCAGGGCACACACATTCATTAGGCAAAACTTTTTTCCATTTCGGGTAGTAGCTGCGTGGAATGACCTTCCTCCGACGGTTGTACACGCTCCTTCTCGAACCCAGTTTAAAGCATTATTAGACATTTATTTATGCGAATCCTCGCGCTGGCGAGCATACTGCCCCGCTCTGAGAACATAAAGAGCAGTGCTACACCCTTTTTGCACTTTTGCCTTTCAGGTGAACGACAGCCACTGACCGAAAAGAACAAAACCGACCCGGGAAACTTGGGCAAAAGCCTCGATCCTGTGTATCAATCCGTGAATCCGTGTCGATGCGCTAATCCTTCACCCCTGTGACCTTGAGAGTGGTGGGCATTTTGGATTGACACGCGATGCTGATTTTGCGTCCAAGTTTCCAGCTTGGACGTTCGGGTAGGCATCTGTTGCAGTAGATAACCTCATCTTTGTAGCGCACTTGAAGTATGCTCTTCAAAGGTGCAGGTATCTTAGTAAGTGTGTAGCTTGGTCACCGAGTTTATAATGATTCACAATTTATTGCTTGTTGACCATCGGTGAAGTCGCTTAAAGGGTTGGCCTCATTAGAATTGAACCGTCCCGTCCATGTGGCAGTACAATGAATTTATAAAACGGTCTCGTGGCTACCGGTGTATACAGGTTATCGCCATTCACAGGTACATGG